GTGGGGCACTGGGACACAAACTGCTCCCAGTTGGACTCAGTCCCTTCCCTCCTGTGAGCAGCTGCTTACCAGAATACAATTTCCCCACTTATTAAGAAAAAGATTTATTTTATTTTTATCACAAAGTGAAATACACAGACAGGAGCAGAGAGGAAAATCTTCTGTCTGATGTTTCACCTCCCAAGTGACACAACGGCTGCTGCTGTGCCAATCCAAAGCCAGGATCCAGGAACATCTTCTGGGTCTCCCACATGGGTGCAGGGTCCCAAGGTTTTGGGCCATCTTCAACTGCTCTCCCAGGCCACAGGCAAGGAACTGGATGGGAAGCAAGGCTGCCAGGTTTAGAATTGACACCAATATGGGATACCAGCACTTTGAAGGCGAGGACTTTAGCCGCTAGGGTACCACCGTGCCGAGCCCCAATTTCCCCACTTTAGCAGATACCTGGCTGTATTTTCCTTGGAAACCACCTGACAGAAGTTACAGTATGTTCCCCACTTCAGTCCCTGCCCAGACCTGGGGTGAATGTGGCCTCATCTATAGTTCAACATGGTGAGAAGTTAGTCTGGATCAAACTAGAGGTCAGTGGGATTGAGAGCTGAGCCTAGGGGTGGCTGGGTGGCTGCTGGGATGTCAAGCAGAGAAGAGCAGGTCTGTGTGTGTTTGTGACTGAGAGGGGGTGTAGGGTAGAGATTAGAGGAGTGCCCAAGGGGCATGATCTGCCCAGACAAGGAGGGTTTTAGATGCCTCAGGCCCAGGGAGCAGGGCCTGCAAAGAACAAGGGCTGCCCTCCAGTGACTCCACCATCCCTTACCCTCGTCTTAGCATTTCATGATGACACTCTGGGAGCTGCACCTTTTGATGCACAGGGTTTTCTGCAGCTGCGTGCCCCTCTGAGTCCTGAGCTGGGCATTGAGGAGGCCATAGCTGGCTGGTGGAAGAAAGTACAGAGAGAAGATACCAGTGCAGGGCTCTGTGGGGGAAGGGCAGGTGTGGGTCTGGGGACCAGGGGAGCAGTGGAAGCACAGGGAGCCTGGCAGACACAGGGAGGAGAAACTTTCCTGTGGGTGGGGGCAAGATGGACCAGCCTAGGGGTGAGGACTAGGGACTCTGCCCCTGGGTTGGTGGAGGGACAGCAGCAAAGTGACTTCTGAGGTCGTGGTGGTATATGAGGAGGTTAAACATCCAAAGGCACCATATGCCTCCCGTGACAGCTCAGGGGCAGTGTCTAGGCCTTCAGGGGTTACAGGTGGCACAGGGATTTGCTGTGTGGAAGGAGGCTGTGGTAGCTCTGGGCCCAGCCACCTTGTGTTGTCTCTTGTCTGAGCAGATGACCCCTCAGTTCTCTCGTGGCTGCTATGAAAGTCTTGTGTGGGCTGTGACCTGGTGTGTCTGGTTCTCTGCTTTGCCCCAAAGCCAGGAAGAGTGCTGGGTCCAGGGCAGACCTCTATGTTGAGTTGTTCACAGGAAGAAGTCAAGATTGCGAAGGCTGCCTGTTTGTTGAGTGCTTTTCCTGTGGCATCATTTCCTTTCACACGTGAAGCAGGGAGGGCAGCGTTTGCCCACTGCATTTGTGAAGCTCATAACCTCCACCAGTGACTTGGTTTGCAGGATGTTCCTTGACTGGGAATAGGCTCAGTTGGGGAGCTGTGAGAGTACCCTCTGGTTGGTTTGGGTTTCCCATGGGAGAGTGTTGGGGCTGGAGTAGGGGGTGCATTCTGGCCTGGATATGGCTGCAATCTCCCTTGGCACAAGTGTGAACTGGGGCTGGGTACACCTAACTGGGCTAGACGCCAGCACCATCTCGTGCTCTGGAGAACCTGGGTAGATGTAGAATGAACTAGACTAGGTCTCTGCCCCTGCTGAGCTATGTGTGAGCTGTGTCTGGGTATGGATGAGCCTTGGCTAGGCTGAAACATCCAACAGAATGGTCTGAAGGCCAGCAAGGCAACACCATTGTTTCTACCAGGACAAGGGGTGAACTAAATGGGGCTGACACATAGACCCACTGGTATGTGCAAGATCTGGTGTAGGCAGAGGTTCTGATGGAGAGCTTGGGAAACTCCTTTGTCGGGACAGAGTCCCTGCAGGTGAATGCAAGAACCATGATAGGGAGCAACCCAGATCAGGCCAGAGAAAGATACCCACTGGCATACATTTGGCATAGGTGGGGAGCAGACCAGGCTGAACCAGTTCACATCACCCGCTGGCCAATCTGAGCACCTGAACAGAGTGTGGGTCGGGTCAGGTTCAGTTGCAACACAAACCAGTGCACCTTACAGAATGCCAAGATGAGGTGACCCATTCCCTATGTGGCTGCAGTGCCCAAACAGCACATTGAGAACCAGGGAGGGAGATGGCAAAGCTGGCAGGGGGAATGTGGGCTCCCTTGCTGGACAATCATTCCTGCTGGAGAGCATGAGTTGGGATGGGGGCAGACCAGACCAGGCAGGCTACAACACCTGTGGGCCTCATGTGAGCTAGATCAGGAAAAAGCCAGGTTGGGCTGACTGTTCTGACTGGTGAAAGCACAAATTAGAGTGGGTGAGGGTTGGTTGGGCTTTGCTGCAGCATCAGGTGACAGAGGCTGGCATTGGGAGCTAATCTGTCAAATTAAGCTCCAGAACCTCTTGAAGAGTGCAGGAAGTGGGAGTGACCAAGTAGGGAAAGAATGGACACCTCCCTCTTGGGCTACCATTCCCACTGGACAGCATGAAAACCAGGACTGGGGTAGTGGTGCCTAGACAGAAAGGCACTGGATAGTAGGGCAGGTTGGGTTGAACTAGGCTTCAATGCCCATTGACATGTATGAGAGCTAAATGGGATGTGGGACAGACTGAACAAGTCCACAGTATATAGTGGCAAGCATGGGAACCAGGGTAGGGGGCAGGCCTGGTGGGGTTTATGGGGAGTCACCCCAACAAGGCTACTGGTTTGTGTGAGGGCCAAGTATGAAGTGGACAGGATTGGGCTGCAATGCAACAACCATTGGTTCACATGGAAGACAGGGCTGAAAACAGAACTGACCCAGCAATTGCAAGAACCAGCTTGTGCATAAGCTGATTGGGGTGACACAGTGCTGGACCCTGTACTGGCAAGCACATACAAGAATTGCGTATAGGATCACACAAACTAAGTTTCTTTAGAGATCCCTCCAACTGAACTGCTGATCTCAGAACCCCAACCATGGAGAGACTATGTCAGCCAGTGGTTTCTGAATAGATTTCAAGGTGCTTGGAACGGTGAGATTGGCAGCAATTCACAACTGTTGAGCTACCAAAACTGCTTGAGCAGGAGCCTCAGAGCAAGCCCCACATCGGGGCGGGGGTGGGCCTGGGATGGGTGGGAGGCTGGGTGGGGCTTCTCCCTTTGTTTCCCCTGACCCCAGATACAGGGGGGAAAAATCATTATATTAATGTGGAAACAATGGTCTTACTCACTATCCTGTAGCCCTTGACCTTTTGTACCCTAATAAACTATGTAAGATTACAAATAATAATAATAAATAAAAATGAACAAGTTAGATACTAAAAAAAAAAAAGAAAAAAAAAGAAAAAGAAAAGACAAAGGTATACACACACATAAACTTGTAGGAGGCACCCATGGATCTCAGACTCTCACTGTGGCTGTTTTAGCAGCACCTGAAGTGAAACAATGCAGACTTGAAGGAAGTGTCCACAAGCAGCTCTCACAAGGCAGTGAGCTGCTCCAGCGGCCCCTGGGGTCATCCCAAAGGGGCCATGGCAGCGGCAGCTTCTAGAAGCTCTCGCCCTGCAGCTCTGGCAGAAGGGCAGTGGTCTCAGGCCCTCTGATTGGCAGCAGCTGAGCCTTCACCTCCAATGCTCCTCTGTGCTGCTGGTAAGGAGTCTTCTTTGGAACTGCCCTTGACAGCTGCTCCTGGGAGCACACCTGCTGCCTCAGGCTGGGACAAAGCCCCTGCAGCCAAGGCTTCCAGAAAGGGCTCATGCAATGCTGAGTTGTCTTTCTGCAGAATTCAACTCAGCCCAACAGAAGGGCTGAGGTAGAATGTGCCATCAGCTGTTGCTATACTACTCCCTAGTACTCCTGATACTCCTCAGCCAGTAATTTCTTCCTGAATCCAGGAAATCACAAACAGCAAGGGACCCACCCTCATGGAACTGGGCCTCCCCCACAGATCACACTCAGCTAGGCTGCAAGCTTCCTTGAAGAGGGGGTGGAAGGAAGCATTGGAAGGCCAGTGTGAGGGTGGTTGTGCTGGGTGCTGGCTGAGGAGGTGGCCCAGCTTCCGAGTGGGAGCATGGCACGTGGCTCTGAAATGAAGAAAAGGAACAGACTTGGTGAGAGGAGGCCTTGATCCACTGACACTTTGCTGGTCAAAGAATCAGGGCTCAGGCCCACACAGCAGGGAGTCTTCAGGTGGTGCTGTGGGCAAGATACTCTTTGGGACAGCTGCGTGCCATATTGGTGGGGCTGGTTTGAGTCCTGGCTCCTTTGCTTCTGGCTTCAGCTTCCTGTTCATGTTAACACAGGGAGGCAGAAGGAAACTGCTTGAGGACATGTGTCCCCACACCCACATGAGAGACGCAGATGGAGTTCCAGCTTCCTGGATTTGGTGCTCAACCTTGGCAGCTGCTAGCATTTTGGGGTGTGAACCAGCAGAAGGGAAATCTCTTTCTGTTTTGCCAAGTAAAGAAGAAAAGAATTGGGATGAGCATGCTGGGTTAAGCTTCCCTCGGGGATGCTAGTATCCCATACCGATGCTGTTCTGAATCAAGGCTGCTCCATTTCTGATCCAGTTCCCTGTTAATGCACCTAGGAAAGTAGTGTAACCTGCACCCACGTGGGAGATCCCAGACAGAGCTTGTGGCTCCAGCATGTTCCAACCCTGGCTATTGTGGTCATTTGGGGAATGCATCAATGAGTGGAAGATCTCTTTCATCTCTCCCTCCATGTGACTCTGCCTTTGAAATGAAATAATTTTTACTTTTCTTTTTAAAAGGAAGGAAATGAAAGTACACTGAAGGAGAAGCCAGATATTTATTAACTCATAGGGAACTTTTAAATGCAGCAAAACGTGGAAGATTGAGGAAAACAAAGGCACAAAGAAACACCCAGAAGGGACTTTAAATTCACCACTGACACAGAACAGAGGTCTTCTCTTCATGTTAAGGGCAAGGGAAGGCAAGAAAGCCTGCCTAATTCCACAGGGATAGGCCCCATTACCCTCCAGGCAGCAGGAGAGAACAGCTGTAACGTAGGGCCAGGATGGTCAGAACTTGCTAGAATACAGTGTGATGAGCCACTTGGGCATACGCAAAAATCCGGGCAGGTAGGAGGCCAGCCAGCTCAAGGGGGAAGCTTGTAACAATGCGGAGCTCACAGACAAGTAATCGTAGATAGGACGGCCTGTGGGGCAACAGGAGTTGGAAGGTCAGAACTCTATTCTCCACACCCAGATTCCACAAGTTAGCTGAAGAGGCTGACATGGAGGGTGGGAGGAAAGGAGGAACATCCAAGAGCAACTGTGAGGCCATGGTTCTCACCATCCACATCCCGAAGGCCATAGCGCCGTGCCAGGTCACAGGAGGGCAACACCTTCCCACTGAGGCTCAGGATGTTGGGGTCTGTAGGCACACACACAGCAGGAGATGGCAATGAAGGAGCGGTGGAGGGAGCCAGGGTATGAGCACAACTGGACAGGGCCACTGAGTCAGGCTCAGGAGGCCAGGCCAACTGTCCTCCATTCTTAGCAAGGCTCATGACCGTACCTTGTATATCCAACTGACAATCCTGACTTGTTGGGCCTCCAAAGGAACAAAGGTGAAAGCCTCCTCTGAGAGCCAGAGGAAAAGGGCACAGTGCCCAACCACCTCCCCACCCAGAACTCGACAGAGGCTGTGCCAGCCAGCATACTCCCCATGTCCTTTCCAATTGCCAGGGGCCTCCAAGCTCCTCACCTGTTGCCAGAGCCACCACACATTTGCCACTCACTTCTGTGGATTCTGCGGATGAGAACTGAGATTGGAGCTGCAACAGAGGGCAGAGAGGTGAGAGGTGAGCTTCTGAGAGCCCTGCTCACACCTCTCTCCTCCATCAAGGCAAAGAGATGTCAGAGCCCTTCTGCAGGAGCTGCCCACACAGGGGAGCCCTGTACCCTGGCAGCAGGCCCCACTGCCTCCAAGTGGAAGGATCTGGTAGTGCCAGTGGGTGCCCTGCATCCCAGGGGAGTTCATTGTGAGGGCAAGTGCCTGGGTCTTAGAGCTACACAGCCTTCCCACTGGGGACCTCTAGGACCTTGAACAAGCTGGGTGACCTGAGTCTCAGAGAAGCCACCTACAGGAGGAAGGAAATGAAATGGTGTGGGTCCAGGGCTCAGCCCTGTGCTGTTGTAGGCAGCACCATAGGCTCCTGTGGCTTCTTGTCTGGTCTCTGAGTAAGGACAGACCTATTCCCCAGTGTCTCTTCCTCCCACACCCCTGCTTCTACTGCCAACCAGCTTCATTGTGGGATCCTTGCTCAGATGCCCCTTCTCCATCTGCTCCTTCACAAGCTCCGTCTGTACCAGTCCTGGCCACAGGGACACATAGCTGACCCCGTGGCGTCGTAGCTCATGGGCACAGTCAGCAGCCAGCCTGTCACACTGAGAAGAGATGGGGGTGGTGAGAGTCAGGACATGGGGTCATGTCACTTTCCTCCTGTACCCTCCCTGCTCCCAAGGGGCATGTCCCAAGCCCCTGTCCTTTCCAGGAGCCCTGCCATCTCAGCTGCCTGCTCCCCCTTGGTGCTGCCTACTCTGTCAACTGAAGCGAGCTCCAGCCAAGGAACTGTTTTGATTGAGCAGGAGAGAGTGGGGTACAGCCAGTCCCAACATTCTGAGCACCAGGGACAGTACTTTCTGAACTCCAAGGTATTACCACTGCCCTATCCCTCCCTGACCCCCATGCCACTGCATGCTCACCGCAGCTTTGCCCACGCCATAGGGGACGCTGAACAGATACTGCAGGCCACCCATAGAGGAAATGACCACGATGAGTCCCCGGCCAGCTGGGACCATCATCCGTGCCCCATACACGGAGCACAAGTAGTGGCCTCTGGAAGGTGGACACAGAAGGCACAATGTAAGTGCAGCCCTGGGGCTCCAGCACCCAGCAGCATCCAGCACCCCCTACTGACTGCACTTAGGTGGACTTGTCTGGGGAGGCAGCATGAGACAGGGTGAGGGGAGGGTACTGGGGTTGCAGATCAGAGGGATAGAATATCTGAGGACACATGCTGATGGGAAAATGGGTAATATGAAACACCCACTCATCCACTTGTGTGAGAATGCAGTCTAGGGGGAATCAGAGAAAGACTCTGAAACAATGGCAGTTATATTGTAACATGTTTTAGTTGTGAAACACTTAAAAATGGATAAGGTTGACAAAGAAAGACAATAGGAAACCAAGTACTTCAACACAGGAACCTGTAACACACAAGCTCTGTGCAAACTAACCCATTGATTTAGTCCATCGGACTTATTGCCCAGTAAGACTTTTTTTTGTTTCAATCACAGATGTTTAATCAGACTTTTTAGATGAACTGACAAGATTAAGCTGAACAAGCAAAATAAACTGAAAAGGAGGCCAGGAAAATTCTACAAGAATAAAAACACCTTGTGGGTGATTGGGATTATCTTCCTCCACCTCGTCTTCTCTCACACTACCCTGCACAGGGAGGGTCTCTAGCCTAGTGGGCAGGACACCCACATCCCACATTTGGCTGCCTAGAGGCAGTCCCAGCTCCTTCCCCAGATTCCACTCACCTGACAACGTGCACCCTGGGAGGCAGCAGTGGTGGCTCACAAGGGTGGGTTCCTGCCACCCACACTGGAGTGCAGAACTGAACTATAACTGCACAAGGACACTCAGTCCCAGGTCAAGCAGAGCAGGGAGGTGAGAGGAAGAACTGGTGCCTTGTCAGGACAATGGAGAACTCATCAGGGCTCAGGGGCTGGGCTCTGCCTGGAGCCCCCATCTCAGCCTCATAACCCTGGCCCGCCATCATGAGGGCGTTAAAGGAGCCACTCCAGGTGACTGTAGTGCAGTGAGGGAAGCTGCTGCCCAGAGTGCTGGCATCCCATAGGAGTGCCAGCTCAAGCCCAGCTACCCTGCTTCCCAGCCAGCTCCCTGCTGATGCACCTGCAAAGGCAGTAGCAGAGGACCCAAGGGCCAGAGTCTCTGCTCTCCATGTGGGAAACCCACATGGTGTTCTAGGCTCCTAGCTTTGGCCTGGCCCAGTGTTGGGTGTTGCAGACATCTGGGGAGTGAGCCAGCAGATGGAAGAGATGCTCTCTTGCTCTCCCTGCCTCTGTTTCTGTGTGTGTGTATGTCCCTGTCTCTCTCTCTCTTACTCAGCCTTTCAAATAACTACATAATCATCTTTTAAAGGGGGCTGAGGCCTCTCTGGAGAGCTGTGGTTGCGGGTCCTGGCGAGCTGTCAGTGTTGGCTTCTCCTTTCTTGCCTCTGAGCTGACTGTGCCCCTCTGACTTCACTGTTGGCCCACTTCTGACACCACTTCTGCATTCTTACTCTCATTGGGCTTATCACTGGGGTGAAAACTGACCAGTGTGTGTTGTGGGTGTCATAGTCACAGGTCTGCACACAGAGTTGGATTTCCCAGGTGACCCTCACATACATCTGGCATGGGTTCATAGTAGAGAGGTCACCACGGTTCCATGGTGACGCACAGAGATATAAGTGTCACATCACTAGGATTGATTCTACATGCCTAATATCTCAGTCCCATTCCAGGTGTACTTGTGACTCTGTGGCTCAGTGCCCTTAATACTCTGTCCTGGGAGGGCGTGGAGTGATCAAGTATGGCTGGTGCTGATCTTATTGATCTTATCCTGGTTTATAAGCAACTCATCCTCTAACTGACGCAAATTTACAGACAACAAGCAGTGTGTGGACAGGCTGACAGGGGTGTGTGTTTGCGGGTGAGGGTAGGCTGCCTTTCAGGTCTCCCATTGGGACAGGCAGAGTGTCAGATGAGTGTAAAGTACAGAGGGAAACACAGCAGTACTTGCCATTTTCAGGACTCATCATTCTCAGACAGAGCCTTACCTGAATGGCAATTGTGACACGAGGTATGTCAGGTTAGATCAGAAAGGAGAGGAAAGAGTTGGCTAGAGGAAGCCCGAAGGAAGATCTTGGGCCCTTGGGATGGCTAAGCAAATGTGGGCATTTAGGTCACCCACCTGAGTCCAACATTGTTGATGTCATCCCAGATGGTGGCAGGACATTCCCAGAATGCTTTATTCCAAGAATTCAAGATGGGCTGCAAGGTATAGGGAAGGTAATCAACTGCATGAATCTGAAAGCAGGAAGGTATGAAGAGGAAGGCAGGCAGAAAGAGGGGCATAATGAGCCTGGTGACCAGGACTCTGGGTGAGAGGAGAGGTCTGGAATGTGGAGTTAGGATCAAAGTTCAAAGGCACCTGAACCCCAGCATAGGCGTTGTTGACCAGCACATCCAGACGCCCATGCTGTTCCCGATTCACTTGCTCAAACAGGCTCCGCACTTCACTCTCCTGGCTGGAATCACACACCACAGGCACACAGCGGCCACCTCGGGCTTGAGCCTGCAGGGGGAAAGGACAGGAGCTCAGAGTCCTCCTGAGGGGCTCCCAACCCAGGGGGCAGCCCAGGGATCCAAGGCAGCAAGCCCATGAGGACACACAGTATTCCGTACTGCCTTCTGGTGCCTGCTTAGGAAGCTTCACAGGCTGGCAGGGTAGACTGGGTAATACCACTACTGATAATAATAAAAGAGCAGGATTACATGTGCCCCACCAGGGTTGTAGCAGAGATTCATTTTCATATGTAAGGGGAAAGAAAAAAAAAGCTTTGTGGCCAGCAGGATGGTTTAGCTGGCTAATTCTCCACCAGCAGCACCACATATAGGCTCCAGTTCATATCCCAGATGCTCCACTTCCCATCCAGCTCCCTGCTTAAGAGAGTGGGAAGTCAGTGGAGGATGGGCCAAAGCCTTGAGAGCCTGTAGCCATGTGGAAGACCTGGGAGAAGCTCCTGGTTCGTGGCTTTGAATCAGATGAGCTCTGGACGTTAATCATTTGGGGGGAGTGAGTCAGCTGTTTTGAGATCACTCTATCTCTCCTATTCTCTGTATTTCTGATTTTAAGTAAAACAAACAAATTGTTTTCAAAAGTCAATAAAAAGTAAAAATATAGAAAATGGCTCTTAGCCACCATTTCCTCTCTAAAAAGTAGTCAAGATTGATACTAATGGCCCAGTGTGATAGCATATTGGTAAAAGTTCTCACCTTTCTGAATGCATTGGAATTCTATATAGGGATCGGTTCTAATTCCAATGCCCCTACTTCCCATCCAGCTGCCTGCTTGTGAGCTGGGAGAGCAGTCAAGGATGGCCCAAAAGTTTTGGACCCTGTACCTGTGTGGGATACCCAGAAGAAACTCCTGGCCTCTGGAGTTGCATTGGCTCAGCTGCAGCTGTAGCAGCCCCAGGGGAGTGAATCAACAGACAGAAGAACTTCTCTGTCTCTCCTCCTTTCAGTATATATGCCTTTCCAATAAAAACAAATAAATCTTAAGAAAAAAAAAAAAAGACTGATATCAAGTGTCTGTGGTGCGTCACCTTGCTCTCTGTGAGCTGAGTTAAGAGTCAATGAGGTTCCGAGCCTGCTCCTGAGAACCCAGTTGCTCTCTGTGTCCTGGTCCTGGGTCCTTAGCTTTGCTCTCCTGGAGCCCCTTATGCTTGTTCACACAGTCATGGGACACTCCAAGCTCTCAGGCCGGGACCACTTGCACTGCCCAGGCACCCTTGTTCTCTGTACACCTACCTCCCACTGCATAGCAACAGGACCTTATTCCAGAACAATCCTCCTACTCCCAGATCTCCTTCTTGCTCCTTCCCTCTGACTCCCTCACCTGAGCCACTGCAGTGTCTTCCAATGGTCACCTGGCCCCCCAGGGCTCTCTGCCTTAAACAAACTCTTCCTGTCTGAACGGTCACCATGAGCCGTCAGAAACACAAACCTGAGTGTGACCTTCCAACCGAACCAGCATCTCAGAGAGTAAACCAAAGTTCTCTTGCAGGGTCTCCTGAGACCCTCATTTCCTCTCCAGCCCCTCACCCACCACACTTCCCTTGCCTGCCTCAGGTGGCAACATGAACACCTTTCACCTCCTTCCCTCTGCTTGTCCAGCCTGTGCTACCCAGCCTGTGCTTCACTGCTTCTCCTCACCTAACTTCTGCCTTCAAGACTCAGGGCAAGAACCACTTCTTCCAGAACACCTTGCTCAACTACTGCCCCTGTCACCTGCATGTGCCACCCCTCACCCATGCCACTCTGCACACACACTCCTTGTCACAACCCCCTTTGTCAGCCTGGTTTACCACCTGACCTCCTGCTGAAATGACTTTGTTAGTTATCAGAGCCTCAGCGTTTGCCCAAATCAAGTCATCCAAGGTTCGCCCCACTAAACCCAGTAGGTCAGTGAAAAGTACATGGGAAAATGGAATTTAAAGAGACTTAATTTGACTTTGCAAAACATTCTGAAAAGCATGAATAGAACAATTCCAAAATGTTAATGGAAAGTAAACATTATCCCAAAAACCTACACAGGGATTACACTCTTTTTTTGGCATTTCTTTCTTTTTTTAAGATTTATTTATTTTCATTGCAAAGTCAGATACAGACAGAGGAGAGACAAAGAGGAAGATCCTCCATTAATGATTCCCTCCCCAGGCAGCCACAATGGCCGGAGCGGAGCTTATCTAAAGCCAGGAGCTCTGCTTGTCTCCCATGCCGGTGCAGGGTCCATGGCTTTGTGCCATTCTCAACTACTTTCCCAGGCCACAAGTAGGAAGGTGGATGAGAAGCGGGGCTGCTGGGATTAAAATCGGTGCCCATATGGGACCCGGGTGCTTTCAACGCGTGGACTTTTGCATCGAGGCCACATTGATGGGCTCATTTTATTGTTTGTTTTTATCAACACAAGCACATCTTCTAATTCCACTTTCCCTGAGGTTTTGGAGTGCCCTTGTTTTTCTGGGGCCCTTCATCTCACCCTGGTGAAGACTTGGTGGCAGCTGAAGACTGAGAAGTGGGTCCCTCACTCACCTCCTGAGCAGTGGCTTGAAGGGTGTCCAGGTGGCGGCCAGTGATGTAAACAGTAGCCCCTGCCTGACAGAGCTGCAGGGCAATGCCGCGGCCAATACCTCTGGAGGCCCCAGTCACCACACACACTTGACCCTTCATGGGAGGAGCCATGGTTCACTGGCCAAGGGGGAGAACCTGAGGGAGCAGAGAAGTGCCCTGAGGGAAGGAGGCAAGGCATGTTTGCAGGGGAATACCACTATGAAAACAGGAAAGTTCCAGAAGCAACAAGTGAGTCTGATGTGGGTCAAGGGCGACTGTGGCTTCCTAGAGAAGCAAAGAGCATAGAGGAAGACCTACCGCGACCAAAGGGCCAACAGGTTAGGACTGTGGCAGACCGGACCCTCGGGGTGCAGTGTAGAACTGGGCTTCCAGGCAGAGCTGCAGCGAAACCCTTAGCTCCAAGCGTGGACGGCTCGCGCCCCTTACCTGCCTTCCCGTGGCAGCTGTCTCCGGGGTCTCTCCTGGAGTGGCTCTCTGCTCCTGCAGCCGTCGAACTTTTATTTAGGCCGCAGGGGCGGAACCAGGGCAGGGACTAGCGCGGGGTCAGCGCGCAGTGCTGCTGTGGAAGCACTCTCCTCCAGGAGGAGGCGGGGTTCCCACAGCTGCAGGCGGCTGTCGGGGGCGGGGTCTAGGCGGGGCGACTGTCGGGACACGCCCACACCGGGACGTCGCATGTCTATGACGTTTCCCCGGCACCCAGAGTGGCTGCCTGTGTGAACTGGTTGCCTGCGGGGTTCTGTTCCCGGCGGCTTGATCATCGTGTGGCTGAGGAAGGCCTAGCGGGATCCGAGCACGCATGGGGCTGGGTCCGCGCTCCCCTCACCACAACAAGGCGGGGCGCCGACTCCCAGATGGCCGCAGACGTGGACGCGTGGCTGAGGGGTCCGGGCGCCCCGCGCCAGGTCGCAGACAGCAGGTCCCGGGCGGGCGCTCGGAGACGGCTTCGGATGCGCACCCCCACCTGAGCTCCGAAGCCCTGGGTTATTTCCGCCGGGCCCTGTCGGCGCTGAAAGAGGCGCCTGAGACCGGAGAAGAACGAGGTTAGCAGACAGTCCGGGAGGGTGGGGAAGCTTTGGAGAGTTCCTAGGGTGTGGGCACTTTATCTGCATCCCCAGGTTCTCTTGGTTCCCTTGCGAGCCCTCTTGGTTCTCAGTGCGAGCCCTTTGTGATGGAACGTAACGTTGTCCTTTTCTCAAAATCTTGTTTTAAAAATTATGTTACATATTTATTTTAAAGTATCCTTTCTGGTTCCGGCGTGGTAGCCTATTGGCTAAAGTCCTCGCCTTGCACGCTTTGAGGGTACATAACCTGCCTGCTCCATTTTCCTTCCAGCTCCCTCCCTGTGGCCTGAAAAACCAGTCAAAGATGTTCCAACGCCTTGGGACCCTGCACCCATGTGGGAGATCCGGAAGAAGCTCCTGGCTTCGGATCAGCTCAGGTCTGGCCGTTGGGAGTACTGGGGAGTGAACCAGTGGATGGGAGATCTTTCTGTCTGTATCTTCCACTCTCTGTAAATCTGACTTTCCAATAAAAAATAAATCTAAAAAAACAAGTATTCCTACTTTGAGAGTGAGAGAGACCTTCCATCTGCTGGTTCACTCCCTAAATGGCCGCAACTGGCAGGGCTGAGTTGGGTTGAAGCCAGGAGCCAGGGACTTAATTTGGATCACTCACATGTCTGCAGGGTCCCAAGCACTGAGAAGGGAGTCAGGTAGGGAGTGAGGTAGCTGAGACTGGACCCCGGACCTAGAAATGATACTGGTATTGCAAATGGTGACTTTCCCAGCTACTCCACAATGCCAGAACCTCAGTTTTTTTATTGTCTGTTTTATTTTGTTTTATGAATTCTGTATTTGCTGGAATTGTGGATTTACCGAGAGCAGGAGAGACAGAATAAATAAGCTCTTCCAACTGCTGGTTCACTTCTCATGTGACCGCAGTGGCCAGAGCTGGATCAGTTTGAAGCTAGAAGCCAGGAACAACTTCTGGGTCTCCTGAGTGGGTGCGGGGTCCCAAGGCTTTGGGCCATCCTCTGCTACCACAAGCAGGGAGCCAGATGGAAGTGGAGCAGTTGGGACATGAACCGGTGCCTGTATGGGAGTGCAGCACTGCAAGTTGGAGGGTCAATGTGCTGCACCACCAGACCTGCTCCCCTTAGTTTCTTTTAAATGCCTGTATTTGTTTTCTTGCCTTTGCAGAGCTGATGGTGCACAACATTCTGAAGGAAGTGGAGACTCAGGCCCTAGCCTTGGCCACGAGCAGGACTGGCAGCGAGGTGCTACAGGAACTGCTGGGCTTCAGTCCCCTGAAACCTTTCTGTCGAATATGGGCTGCCCTGCGCCCCAATCTACGCTCTGTGGCCTGTCATCGGTGTGGGGTCCATGTCCTACAGAGTGCTTTGCTGCAGCTGCCTCGGCTGCTGGGGAGTCCTGCACGGAAGGAGGAAGATGATGAACCTGAGGAGGAAGAAGAGGAGAAGGTGACGGCTGGGGTGGATTGTACCTTGGAGACCTTGGAGGAGCTGGTCCTGGGCCTCGCGGCCGAAGTGTGTGATGATTTTCTTTTCTACTGTGGAGACACACATGGCAGCTTCATGGTGAGGACTCTGCTTCAGGTGTTAGGAGGAGTTCTCGTGGAATCTGAGCGAGCTAGGCCCTGGAGCTCCCAGGCCTCCGGTAAGTATTACAGGAGCAGGAAGGAGAGTTTAGGGAGCAGAGAGTAAGCTGGGAAGTAAGTCTTCAGAGGGAGCTTGAGCTGGAAGAATTGGCAGTGAGATTAGAGATGTGTAGTAGCTCATTATAGGTCTGCCAGGCGGTAGGTGGGAACCCAGCAAGCTGAGCTGGCACCGCTACCTCTGCCTCGCATTCAGCAGGAACCAGAGTCAGGCTGAGTGTTGAACCCGGGCACTCTGGGGTGAGGTGCAGGCCCAGCTGCGAGGCTAAACCACTATCCCTGAAATGTGTGTGGTTTTTGTTTTAATATGATTCAACATGGACATGAGTGTGTGTGTGTGTGTGTGTGTGATTATGTACCTATACTGGCATAAGGCAAAAGTTTAAGAGAGAATACTGTTACTGCGGTGTTCTTTTCTCATTTTGTTCTGCTCTATTAGGAAGAACACAGGTTAAGATCATTAGGTTGGTTTTATGAGACATTCGTAAGCTGTGGCATGTATTTTGAGAAACTCTAGGAAGTAAGAGTAGAGAGTTGGAACAAGGCCTGATTTGGGGATGTGTGGAGTACTCGGCTGAGGAGTTTAAACTCTCTTGTGTGGGTGGTAGAGGACTGGACCAAAACTGGAGGTTTCTCATTAAAAAAGCAGAAGCATTGTCTAGAGCTCCCATTTGGGTGGCTGGCCTTATCGCATCTTTCTGCTTCACCAAGCTGGGTGCCTGCTGCTCTGTGGAATCATTCTTCCTCCAGAGGGTAGTTGGTGACCTCCTCCCTGCACTTGTTCTTTTTTTTTTTTTTTTAAGTTTTAAAGCAGGATTTATTAGAAAGGCTGAGAAAAGAAGACTCCCGTCCTAGCGACGGGAGGGGGTTTTGAGATAGAAAAGACCCTTACCTCCTGCCATAGTGGCAGGAGGAAAAGTAAAAAGAACCCTAGTGCTCTGCCATAGCCTGCACTTGTTCTTGATCTTGATCCAGAAGCTCAAAGGACTCCAGCCCGGGAGTGCAAGCCAGCTGATTTTGAGGTTCCTGGAACCTTCTTGAATTGCCTTCAGGACATGAGCTCTTGCTTTCTGAAGGACATTGCTGGTAAGGAGAGGACTGTGGGGAGGGTCAGAAGCCGTTTCTGGAGATGTTTCCCACCCAGCAGGTTGTTCCTCTTCAGACCGTGGCCTGATTGGATGTGCCGAGGCCCTTTGTGTGGAGCCCCTGTGTCCATGGTCCCCTGCATGTGGTTGTTGATTGGTGGAGGTGTACAGATCATGCGGATTTTCTTGTTTCTGCCCATAGTGTTCATCACCAACAAGATCTCCAGCTTCTGCCTTCAAGTGGCCTTACAGATTCTATGCCGCAAACTGCCCCAGTCTTGTGCCCATCTTTGCAGTGCTGTGATTGGCTACCTGAGTACTCGCAATGCATCAGCAGATGGCAGGTATGGTCAGGACCTTGGCACTAGCCAAGGTTGATGGGACTGTGTGCTGTGAATGAGGTGGTGCACCTGTATTTTGGATGAAATGGGGATAAAATGGCTGGCCCCCTGCTCCTGTTCCCAGCCCCCTCCTGCTGTTTCTGCGAGATCAGACAAGCTCCAGGCTCCTGGAGCAGGTGCTGCTGGTGTTGGACCCCTCTCAGCTCCAGAGCCTCTTCAAGGACCACCTGCAGGGCCAGCTGCAGACCCTGGCTGCACATCCCATTGCCAACTTCCCTTTGCAGCGCTTACTGGATGCAATCTCCACGCCTGAGCTGGTGAGTCAAGAACCTGTGCTTAGTCTGTTTCTGCTAGTCCTTGCTCACTGGGGCCCTATTTTACTGTGTGCCTTCCCTTCTGCTTTGTGTCCATGATGATGTGTTGGATGTTGGCTTAGGAACCAGAGCTGAAGATAAAGGGACTCCCATCTCAGAGAGGATTTGTTTTGACTTCTCTGAGGCATGAGCCCCAGCAAGGGACTGGCTCATAGTTTTAAACTTGAGGTTCCATGAGCCACTCGAGTCTTGAGTATTGGACTGCAAATCCACAGGAGTGCTGGACAGTCATCAGAGTTTCACTTTCCCTTCGTTGCTCATTCCCGAAGCCGACTTCCTTGCAGTCTCATGGGATGAGTGTTGGAGTAGAAGGGCAGATCTTACCCTTGCTTTTGCTTTGTGCATTTAAGGTTCCTCTCTTCATGAGGTGACATCTCTAAGAGAGTTCCCTAGTCCTAAGCTTTACTCAGCCAAAACAGAGTCCTGGTATTGGCAGTGCTTTTCATCTTTACTTTTGATGATGTTTGCATAGTTGAGAAGGATGTATGGCCATGTAGACCACTGATTAGTATAGGAAAGGTGGAGGAGTAGGGAAAAGTGGATGAACCATTGTTTCCAATTTTTCTTTTTCTTCTTCTTGTGTCTGGGGGAAGGGAGGAGAGAAGGGGAGAAGCCACACCCAGCATCCCCAAATCACATCAGAACCTGGGAATGGTGGATGGTCACCCAGTGTCATCCCAGGGTTCCTAATGTGAAACATGCTCTGAGGGTACTGCTCAAGTGGCTTTGATAGTTCTGAAATGCTGTTGATTTCGTTGTTCCAAGGTTGAGAAAATCCTTCCAACGTCCATTGGCTGACATAGTTCACCGTAGTTTCTATTTGCCCAAATATTTGCTCTCAACACTTGACTGAAGGAGTTGTCCAATTTTTCTGTTCTCCATGCTGTGCTATGGTACTAGATGTCCTCTGCAGGCCCCAATGAACTACATATGCCCTATTTGCATCTGGTCATTCTATCCACTGCACCATCTTAAACAACTGAGGAGGCCCAGTTCTGAGGCCTGCACTCCATGATCAGACCACGGACCCTGCAGTTTTCTTTGTGGTTAGAGTTTTGAGTCTAGCAGATCCATTGGAAGGGTCCCCAAAGAAACCTCATCTGAGGTAACTCC